GGGGGGAAACAAAGGCTGAGGTTATTTTAAAACAGGAGCGCTACTTAAATAAGGTTAATTACACTGAAATAAAGGAAGTTCAGCAGTGATACTGGCCTAATTGTTTTTTCTTTGTTCTTTCTTTATTTCTGACTTCCTGCTTATCTTCCCCTTCAGGGAGTTCTTACGTCTCGGGAACCCGCTGAACTGTGGCGCCTGGGACAAGAAGCTGTTGAAGAACTACCGGGTCCACAAACCGAGCTCTCTCAGCTACGACGCCGAGATGAGAAGTAAGATTGTAACATTCGATCATTGTACTCACTGTTCCACAGATCTCCGGTGAAATATTCCTACAAGTGTTTTTTGTCAGAGATATTAAATAAAACACAAGTTGGGTTTCGGTGTTCTTATCAGCTGTCAGTCGGTTACACTTACAAGTGCATAGACTGGATCATACCAACTACACACACTGTGTTCACACAGATAGAATCTGTCCCAGGATAAATGATTAAACTGCCTGGATAAGTATTTGTTATAGTTGGGTTACAGGCCTCAAACGTGTTATTAAAGTGGCGACTAAAAGGTAACCACCTTAGAAACCTCTGTGATTCTGTTTTATCACCTATCACAGGACGTTCTTTGGTATTAGTCGAACAAATATAGTTTCTTTTACCGACACAGGTAAAATGCTCACTTTGTAATAGCTGAGAATTGAAGAGCTCTTTTCACAGCAGCCTTCCAAGTGCAGCTATGAAGGATGTGCCACCTGGGAGCGATTCCCATCTGCCGTTGTGATGCAGGCTTCTCCTGGGAGAAAGTGTCATTTTTATTTATTTATTTTTTAACAAAAGCTTTAAAAAAAAAAAGGAGAATCATCTTTTCTTTGCTCTCTGATGAATTCTCCAAAGAATAACATCTGATGTTAGCGTATGAGCTTTACTTAGTTCCTTAACGCCAGATTAAAATGCTCAGATGGTCCGTGTGCTTTCAGAGTGGTCTTTACGATTTATCCAGAGCTCCTCGTTTCCGTGCCGGATCAAAGATAGAAGGCAAACCTAATCAGGTGTCCTTCCATGCATCCGTGTTGTTAACCGCTTATCCAGTTTGGGATCTTGTGAGCGCTGGAGTTGATCCCAGCTGTCACCGGCTGAGAAGCGGCGTGAACCCTGAGTATCAAATGGCTAACACGGCGACACAGATGAGCACGCTCATATCCTACCAATTAAATCTTCCTGTAATGCTTATTTATATGTTATATATATTCAGACAGCAGCTGACAGTAGACAGAATGCAGCTATGACTCGAGGACTTATAGATACACTAATTAGCACGTGGCGTCATTTCAACGTGCTTTAGCTGCTTTTCATTTCATTGCTTTTTGGAAGCAGGAAGTTGTTAGAGCGGTCTTCTTGTCCACTGATTAAAGCGAGGTGTAAACTCCATGTTTAAACAAAGATCGGCTCGCCTCTGTGAATGTAATGCAAATGGCTTGTTTTCCATCAACAGCTGCTAATGTTTGTAATTTTCTGGCTTTCTCAGCATGTCTTAATTGCTTATTGTGTCTCCTCCCAGCTGAGAATGGATATCAAGGCCCCGGTAATTACTGCTCTTTACAGACAGCCACTGGGAGAGCACATATTGCCATCTTTCTCTGTGAGAAGAGTCTGGTTTATTAGCTGCCATTGATGGCTGTTGTAATTCTTGCTTTCATCCAATTCGTCTTTGTCACATCTGCTGACTCTTTAGAAATGAGACGACCCGTGTTCTCAATAGAAGGTGAAATATGTTACCTTAGCGCGGGACGTTATTATCGCCCTTCTGGGGCGATGAAAATCCAGGTTTGATTTAATGTGGCCTACTCGCAGCCGGTGTTTTCAGTGCTGTGGGAGTTTTCATGGGCGGACCAAGCTGTAAGGGGTTTTTATCACTCTCTCTGAATCTAATCTAATTGGAAAATAAATGTTATTTTGAATAAACAAATGCAAATTTTGAAGTGCTGGAATTCTGTCAAGACCTTTTTAGGACTTGTAAAAACAGTAGAGAAACCACTGTTAGATGGGGAGATGACACAAGCTGCTTTAAACTAAGAGTAAGAAGTTCATTTGTATTTCTTTTGGGTTTCCGACTCTACATTTGCATGAAAAAGGCCTCTATAGTGAGAAAAAACATATATATTTCTGCTCCAGGGTTTTAAAATCAGGCTATATTTAAGGTTTATGGATTTTTTGATTTTGATACTTTTTAAAAATGTAATAGCCAAATTTAAACTTAACTATCTTGAAGCGTTGTATTATCTTTCCATTAAGACCTTCTGATATGTAGGGAAGGTCATGTTAATTCTTGGCCTCATTCTTTACAGTTTAACAGGTTTGTTTATTTGTTTATTTATAAGGAATCCCATTAGCTTCCACAACAGTGGTTGCTAGTCTTCCTGGGGCCCAAACGAATACCACCAAATAAAATGTTACACAATGAGTTGGATGCAAAATGTCCACATAATTTGGCGCTTACATCCACAATAAGGTTTTAAATTTCTGAAAATGTAAACATGTAAATATTAAAAATTATAAAATAAAATAAAAAAACACTCAAACAAAATACACAATTTCCATTACAAGTGACATTACCCTCTTACAATTTTTACAAATAAATTAAAAACTGCTTAAATAGACTTTTAGGTGATTTTTAAAATTATGAATAGAAGCCAATTCTCTAATTGCATAAGGCGACTTATTCCACTGAAAAGATGCTTTAAATATAACAGAGTTTTTCAAAAAGTTACTTTTAACTCGAGGAGTTACTAAATTGTGGTTAGTTGAGAATCGTGTAGCATGATTATGTATTTCATCTGGATGCTGCAACTGAGCATAAAAAAGTGTGGTGTGTTTACCAGTATTGCTTTCTTTAAAAATACAAGTAAGCCATAGTATAATTTAGCTTGTACAGAAAGCCAAGAAAGTTTATCGTGCATTTTATCAATACTTGTATAATATGAGCACCTTAATACTAATCTGGCCGCCCTATTTTGGACTAACTGTCTGTTCAGATCTGTCTTATTAGCTGCTGACCAAATGATTGAGCAGTACTCTAGATGAGATAATACTAGTGCATTAATGACATCTTTCATAATTGAAGAAGTAATATAAAAAGAGCATTTTCTAGCTATAGCTATGCCCTGTCCCATTTTCTTAATAACAGAGTTGAGACCATGAAAGGTGGTGGTTTATGGTAACACCAAGTAATTTAATCTGGGTGACCTGTTCTAATACCAATCCAGCTATGGAAAGATTAATAAGGTTTCTGACTCAGAACAAACGTTATGACTGTAGTCAGGTTCCCTGAAGAAGAGAACCACAGCTTTAAGCCACATGACCTGTAATGACATATTTGAGGCCCCACCTGCACATATACGTCCCTCAGTTTGATAAACACTCCTGGCTGAGCCCAGCTTCTCAGTGGGGAGACTTTGTCTTGTACCTCGTTCCTCTGCTTCAGGGAACAGAAGCTGTTCGCTTTCAGTTGATTCACTTGCTAACACACATACAGTATGGAAGGGATGTATAAATGCCCCCAGTTGTCACTGAACCAGAACAAAAGTGTGTGGTGATGGCCAACTAGCTGCAGCACAGATATCAGTCACAGGGACCCCTTTAAATGGGGCACATGAGGTTTCCAATCCCCTGCTGCTCTCACACCCTGAGGCAAAGAGAGACCTTTGGTTCTGTGAGATGCTGGGAAGATAGCCTCCATAATCCAGTTGGAGAGCCTCTGCTTAGGCAGAGTTTTATCTCTGCTTGTATTATTACAGCAGTTAAACAGCTTGGCCACATAAACACACATTCTGAGTGTGGTCAGTGTAGATTCACATCACACACAGATGAAGGTTCATCTCTTCCTCAGATGGAAAAGGATGAGGGCAAAAAGTGAGAAGCTGAAAAGTGTGTGCCAGAAGCATGCACGGACGAAGCGTGAAGGTCACCCTCTCTTTACTGAAGGCAGCAAAGTGGCAGTTCGAAACAACCCAGTATTATGTAAAAGAAACTTCATAGCTATAGAGTCAAAAAATGGACTGAAAGACAATTTGAACCTGGCGTCCAGCTCCAGACAGGGTCCATAGGTGGGCACAGTGATGTGGTAGTGGTTTGCTCCGGGAAGCCATTAGCTTGGAGACAAAATCTGAGAACATGGGCAGGTGGATTTTGATTGTTGTGGCTCTGAGCTTATGAAAAGCTCGGACTGTGACGGTTTCTGAGCTGGCAGAGGGGAGGGCTGCTCCTCCTGCAACCTTTTTGCTGCATGATGAAAGAGGGAAAAGGGAGACGTGGTCTTTGCTAGCCCGCACAGCAGCAGCGGTGACAGGCCGGTTCACACGCTATCTACCAACTATCCATGAATGTCCGGTCCTGCATGTCACCGTCGACCTGGTGAGCATGCAGCTCAGGCTGCAAGTTGGATCGTGCCTCACATGGTTATGGCTCACGCTTGGCTTAACCCATCAACATACTCCATGTGTTTACTCAGCTGTTTGCTGGGTCATCGACTGAATACTTTGGACTCGCATGAATCTGCGTCCTTAGACTCTGAGAGGAAAGAGAAATCTCATGCAACAGTAGTCTTTCACAGCTCTACCTACAAAACTTTGGGTTAAGTCAACCCTCTCATACCGTGGACAGTCTCCAGGTAGACCGGGCATTCCTCATGCTGGTCTCTTCACCCCTGTGGACAGACTTGCTTTGGTTTGCGACTCATACCAAAATGACAGGGGTGTCTATTCGCAGGCAGGGTCCACATATGTCATCACAGGTCATCTGCTTTAAATAGAGGTGTCTTCAGCCAGACAAACAGCTGCGTGATACTGTATGTGTTGTACAAAGTGAAGGAACTGACACAGAACTAGAAAATTTTGCACGTTTCACAATTACATCTTTCTGCTTTTGAATGTCATGAATTAAAAAGTAAAGTAAGACTAATAAGCGTCCTGAGGCGACGGTTCTTCTCATTTGATGCCATATAAATAAAATGTTATTGATTTGAATAGCTAACCAATCAGGAGCCACCTTTCAGTCCTGAGTCGTGGATCTTGCGTGTCTTGACTCTAACCACGCCTTCTTAATCTCACAGACAGCATGACCACTTCCATGGAGGGCTTCGGCCCCGACAGCGTCTTCACCACGCCGGCAGAGGACAATGGCCAGTATCGCATCAGCCGCAGCCTCGTGCGCTCCGCTGAGGGCAGCACCGTACCCCTCACCCGAGTCAAGTGCCTGGTGTCGATGACAACCCCCCACGACATTCGCCTGCACGGATCAGCTGTTACACCTGCATTCGTGGAGTTCGACAGCTCGCTGGAGGGCTTTGGGTAAGTTATGGTTAACAGACCTTAAGTGCATTTGGTTTTCCAGTCGTATGCAGTAATGCTTATATTTTTGATTATATTTGCAACAATGTAACATTATTCAGATGAGACCTTTGTTACCCGGTTCTTTGTGACCTTTCATTTCTGAGGCCCAGTTCAAAAATGCTAACATGTGTCTTTAACACACTGGATTTCTGACGTTGCCACCAAGGTTATTATCGTTAACGAAAACTAACGAAATAACGAAAACTAGAAGTGAAAAAACATTTTCGTTAACGGAAATAAAAATAAAAACAAAAAAAGGAAAACTAACTAAAACTGGAATGAGTGTTCACAAAACTAACTAAAATTAACTGAATTTATAGCAAAACTGTGTTTAGTTTTCATTGATGTGTGCGTGTCATACAAGAGTCAAGGGTGAAAATGAAGTTTAGTTTCCAGATTTTTTTCTTGCTGTGTCTCATTATGCCAGCAGGTGGCAGCACGTTAGTCGAGTCGTCTGTGTCGCTGCTCCGTCCACGCGCAGAATCATGTCAGGAAAAGTCGGGAGCCAGAGTCCAATTTGGGATTACTTTGAATATGACTGTGTTTTGGATAAAGCAAGTGTCTTGTAGTGGAAACAGACAAATTATGAGGGACAAATCCCACAAACCTTAAAGTGTACTTGAAAAGCTCACACAAGAAGGCTAACCTAGCTTACCTAAAACAGAAGCTAACCCCAGGCAAGGCAGCGTGATGCATCCCGAGACAACAGGACGGGGATATCTACACAACTGTGTGAGTCAATTACCTTCAAAAAGTTTATCAATTCACTTGAACCAAAATTACGAACACCCGGTGCTGCGAGAGTTAATAGTCTCATTGGGGCCAAGATATACATTTTATAGTTGCCTGGTATCAATGGTTGTTCATCTGCCTTTATTTATTTATTTAAAGAACCCATAGGTGGGAATGTGAGTTGTCTGTCTCTGCGTGTTAGCCCTGCGACAGACAGGCGACCTGTCCAGGGTGCGGTATGGTAGCTGGAATAGCAACATACCCAAGGATGAGCAGAATGACTGATATGATGAAACTGGGATTTTGTTACACTTAATTATTGCAAACAACTAAAACTATAACTGAAACTAATCAAAACTAAACTGAAACTAAGGATTTTCAAAAAAATAAAAACTAAACTTAAACTAGCAAACAATTGGTAAAAACTAATTAAAACTGATATAAAATTGAAAATCTGAAGTCAAAACTAAATAAAAATAAAAACTAATGAAAATTGCAAAACTATTAAAACCCTGGTTGCCACACAGATTCTAACTTGACCGTTAGCCTGACCAAACTTGGCTAATCTTGGATATCAGGAGACAGAATTGATATGTTTGTGACAGTTGCTTGCTTGACATTAATGCAGCTATGAAACCAAAACATGCTCCTGTAAACATGTGCCCTGCAACACAGAGGCAATAGCTATTCTGTTCATTACATTTCTCCATTTCAGTCCTTATTAAATTAAAAATTATATTAATGTGACAATCTCTTTCAGACTTAAGGAGTGGGACAAACTTTGGTGTACATTTTGGAAAATACTGATGCCTTTATGGAAACAAATCTGTATATAAAGTATAACTTGTAAATGTTTTATATCCATATAAGAGTGTCAGACTTGATTCTTACAGTTATTTTTCATCAGAAAAATCTAACGTGCACTCCCATGATTGGATACTCTTATAAGATATACGATGTATATAAAGCATAAACACTTCCTGTAACTTTTTACAATTTCCTATCCTTACGGGTGGAGTAACAGATGGCGCCCATTCTTTTGTAAACCATTTTCGCTCTAAATCTCTTTGCGGATCAATTTTCCTCGCCCGTGAAACACGCCTGAGGACGTAGCGTTATTTTCCCCGCCATAAACAGGTTGTGTGTGAGTGTCTTTTAGCAGTACCTGCAACTGTCTCAGCAGGAGCCTGTTATTCGCCTCCAGTTGTGGAGCTGTGCATACAAATAGGCTTATTTTCCGCCTTTTATGTCACACGGAGCCCTTGGCACGCCGTCCGCTGCACCCCGCGGTTTGTGTTGTGTGTTAGCACCACAGTCAGCGCGGGGGTCAGAAGATGGTGTGTGGGCTGTGACCTCAACACTTCGCCCCCCCATGCTTTTGCAGACATGTTAAGCTGAGACGCAGTTGTGATGTGTTACATTCTTCATTAATATTCATAAGTGCATCTTGCAGAAGATCATAGTAGAAGTTTCCTGTCAGTGTAGCTAAAGGTTGGTTACTGTGAGCCAACTGCACCGAATTATTAGATGGCTGCGGCTGTGGAAGCGAGTATATTCATTCAGTTTGCATTTCTACACCCAGGGTCCTTCAGTTTTGTAAGACTAGACTTGATTTAAAAAACTGCAGTGAGATTCTCTTTACCCTGACGAAAAAATGCAAGCTTAGCAGACCAAATATCTAAATTTGCACAAAACATCCCGTGTCAGTGACTCAGCCTGTAACATAACAAACAGCAAGTGGAAGCAACAAACTGACATCCAGCACTTGGTTGCCATGCCATTTAACCACCTGTTTTTACACCAGCACGTACACTGAGGACCGCAGTGATGTCAGTACTACACACAATAAGACAGCACCAATCTTCCAGATCAAACATTTGTGTAAGTGTGTCAAACAGGATCTGAAAATTCATCTTTCCACTCTAGTTGTCTGTAGCAGTGCCAGCATCACCACACCAGAAGTATGAATAAGTTGTATAAAATATTATACTGTTAATATATTTTCTACAATTTTGCAAACCCATTCAGCGGCCTGTTTCTGGCCCCCTGACTATATGTTTTTAACCACCTTTATTTAATGCAAATTCCTATCTCAGAACATGTAAAAGTATTCAGTTGTGGCACAGATGAGCTTTTATTTCACAGGCTCAGATTGGTCCTTTTTAACTCTTTAAA